TTACATGGGATTTTTACTTGTTTTTTGAACATGATTGGTTGGTTTGTATTTGCAAAAATGTCTTGATAGATAACTTTGTTCTGAGCCTTATAGGTACCCCAGTGACTGGTAACAAGAAAAAATTCAACATTTTCCCGACTCTAAAACTCATGATAAAATCCAATCGTTTTGAGACCAATCCACTCTGTTTTCCATTTGAAAAAAGGGGGAAAAATAAAATAAGGATCAAGTACAGAATGCAACACACCTGAATGGGAATGGAACGGCCTTTCATTCCTTTAGAAAGTTAGAAACAATATAACAAGTGTTTTGGTTTGGCGGAGAAACAAATTAGATTCCTTCTTTTAACATATTAAATATTAATTAATAAAATACATCTGAACAAGATTGTTGCAAAAAAGTCTATGGTTCATCATACTCATCTTCTACTTAATGACCTGGTACATGCCTGGGAGTGGAGGAAGCATTCACGTCAAAGAATAGAGAGTGGCGCATATCTTACTTGAAGAGTTCTGGATTCAACCAGTCCCTGTAGAGAGGAAATATGAATTGGAACTTAAGTTGGTGATATTAATACCCTTTATTTTATTTCATTTTTTTGAATTTCTTGTTTTCTAAGAGAATGTGGAAGAAAGGCTGTTGGGGCTTACTTCTTAATGTCATCAAGGTGGTCGTCAAAATCTACAACATCATGCCATTTCTCTGATGAAATGTAATCCAGAAGGAGAACATTTGCTGCTGGCTCCTTAACCATCAACCGGCTGCTTCCAGCAACCAGTTTCCAATTCTTGGATCCATCCCTTGCATAAAGCTAAAGCATAAAAGGCAACACAAGAATATTAGCTTAGACATCTATCAGTTAAAATACAAGATGACAACTCCATCAATGATTCCAACCACTTTTTGAGGAATAAGCATTAAAAGCAAAAGATGAATCCAAATGTTGATCAGAAACAATATCAAACATTAATCTCCATGAGTCTAAAACTTAAAATCCAAGGACAGAAAATGGGGATTTGTATTTCTCTACTATGTAGATATAAAAATGACATAAAATTCAAAAATGATAAACACAGTTCCCATTCAAAACCTGAAATGGTTGTGCTTGGCATATATTAGCATTCTGTTGGACAAATGAATTATTCGAATCTCCAGAAATGTAGTTCCTGAATTTTCCTTAACATTGCATTTTTTGCTTTTAGTATCCCATCATCATCCCCTCTATCCCTAATCCAAGACTCATTTGAGTTGTAGAGCACCTCAATATTTTACTACTCCTTATTTTAAAAATTGTAATTTAAACTAAAACTGAAAACAGAAAATTTAAGGGGAAATACTAAATTAAAATTTAAGGTAAGGCCACTAATTCCAAGATTCTCATCGCTCTTTTTCTGAAAATGTACTAATTCAACAATGTCTAATTTCAGCAACCTTCATTTAATCTGGAAGCAACCAAGGAGGAACAAAATAATTTTTGTCACAGGGAAGTAGAGGGTAGAAGATAGAACTTAAATATTGCCAAAAAAAGAAAAAAACTGATGAGACACATAAAATAAACTTCTACAGTTTAACCACCAGATTTCTTTCTAGACTATATCGACGTGAATTCTAGAGGAAAATATATCCAAAACAAATTACACCAACTATACAGAGGAACACCATAAAAGGATCATCTGGTATTTCAAGGAAACACATTAACTACACTAACCTGCATTACAGGGCTCTGGTCTTTCCCCTTGGGTAAAGCTTCAAGCTTTTTGTTATCTAACTATAAGGAATAAAAAAAAAAAACAAAGAATGAATGAAAGAATTAATACATAACAACAAGTAAAGCAGCATCAAAATAAAGATTCCTACTTAATACATACCAAGAGAATAGCAGCTTCCGGGTAGTATCGAGAGATGTGATCACCAATGTTCTTGGCCACAATACCCAGTTCTGCATCATCAAACCTTTCGTTTGCGTGGAAATATCCAACAATACCAACTCCCTTAGCACTATACTGCTCCTCTATCTGATTATTCATAATCATTCAAGAAATTGAAACATTCACCCGCACGCACTTACCTTAGCATCAAATCTCAAACAAGAATAATAATAATAATAAAAAGATTCAAAATTCATTGATTCTATAACTTACAAACTTCAAATTGATTAGCTTTATCAAGCAAAACACAAAACAAGTGCACAGGATCTAAAGAGGAAGAGTAGATGGATTACGGACCATGATGAGGGCGATCTCGAGCGGAGGCAAGAGGGCGAGATTGGAGTGGAAAAGAGGAACGGAGTCGGTGATCTCGAGAACGGAGTGGTTTAGGGGGCTGGGTCGGCCGAGCAAAACTCCGTTGACGGAGGCCGTTTTGTGGTTGAGGGCATGGAGAACAAGTTTGATATAAGCGTTCTGTGAGATCTCGTACTTGATGTCGGCACCCATGATGGAATCGCCGGCGCAATGGAAGATCGGAAAGTGTAGTGTGTGTCTGTGGAAGGAAACTCTTGAGACTCCGTTGTTCGGTCAGTGTCTGTGTTTTCCGGGCGGCCGCATTTTATTTTGGACGAAGAAATAGCCGAATCTGCTTGGAAAAGAGAAGGTGGTGCTGGAATTTAACCAAACGATGTCGTTTTAAAGACAATTTCACTATTTATCATTTGGCCATCATTTCAACTCTAGCTCAATTATGGTCCTTGTATTTTTTTCACTCAAGGGTTTGTTTTTGTTTTAGTCTGGGAGAGGGAGAAAATTGGTAATTTTGCAATGGAGTTTTATTTTGTTTATTAATTTTTTTTATTTTACTGTTTTATAGTTTGAATTGTTTTAAATTGTAAAACAAGAATTCTTAAACGAAGGAAGAATTTTTAATATCAAAGAGTTCACCTTTATCTAAAGATTAGTGTTTTACAGTTCAAAATGATTCAAATTATAAAACCTTTTTTTTAAAACTTTTTTATGTATGATAAAATGTATTTTTTATAATCTTTAATATTAGAAAATCTATACTTACCTAAGAATTAAGTTAATGTAATTTGATACAGTCATACTAAAGTCTTTTTATTTTAAAATTAAAAATAATATCATTTCTAACTCATTTTTTGCTATATCATTTTTACTTTGACAGACTGCTCTGGCCTTTGAGCTTGAAGTCTTCTGCCAACACAATGCATCAAAGGGCGTACAAATTCCGATGGTAGATGTAAAATATGTAAAAGGGCTCCAATGTACACAATGTAGTAGAATGGTTCTGTTTTAGAGTTTAGATTTTGGATTGAGCTGATGATTCGATTCTGATTCCTTCTAAATTTTTTTTAGAAAAGGGCAAAGCCAAGTTTTTCCCCCTTGCTCTTTTACTCTTTCTATTTTGCAATTAAGCCAAAAGGTCCAAAATCCTTTGAAAATTTAAAAATAAAGAGGGAATTCTTTCACAAATTCATTTTATTTTCAAAAAATATTGTCCAAATTCTAGTATCAACTCTTATACAACAATTGGGGGCCGGGGAACTATTGTGTTCTATTTAGACAAGACAAAACAGAGGAGATCACTAGTGCCATGCCAGACATGATTCTTCTCTTTTTATAGCTAATCAACATCAATATTTTCCATGCTGAGCTTGTTTGATTTATTACCTCCATTCACCAGCATTCTAAGACCAGCTTTTAACTCTGGTACGCCTTCCTCCAGGACAGCACACACTGGATAAATGGGAACTCCTTGTACCCTTCTTTCCAATTCTTTATAGACATCTTCAGCCCCAGCCTCATCAATTTTGTTTGCCACTATCAAGGATGGTCGATCTGACAAACCTTCTTGGTGGTACTCAAGCTCTAACACCAAATCCTTAAGTTGTTCCCATGGTGGGATTCCCTTTCTACCATCTAATGCAGCAGCCAAGTCTACTACATATGCCAATACCTTTGTCCTTTCTATGTGCCGCAGAAAAGCATGTCCTAGTCCACGATTCTGATGGGCCCCTTTTATCAATCCTGGGATATCAGCCACTGTGATTGACAAGTCTTCAAAGTTCAGATTCCCTAAATTTGGCCTCAAAGTTGTGAAGGCATAGTGGCCTACAGTAGGCTTGGCTCTAGATATAGCCCCAAGAAGGGTACTTTTTCCGGCATTTGGCATCCCCACAAGGCCCACATCAGCAATGCTCTTGAGTTCTAGCACAAGAACAGCTTCAGAACCAGGCAAACCCACACGAAGAAAGGATTGATCATCATTAGATCCTTCAAGGTTAAATGCATCATCCTTACTGTGGTTCGTAGGCTTAGTCTTCAAAATACTTGGGTAGCAAACATTACCCAAACCACCTTCACCACCATGAGCAACAATCATCCGCTGGCCTTGCTCTGTCAGTTCAGCAACATTATACCTAATCAGTTCTGAACCCTCTGATTCAACTTCACTAGCTTGCTTCATGCTTTCTGATTTCTCCACGGCTAATTCAGTACAAGATGTTAGGTCACCAGAAGTGCAGATTGATTGGACTGCCTCAGCCAATTTCATGTTCTTAGAGGCAAATTGTTGATCAATTTCAGGGTGATCAGTAGCAAGTGTACCAGGGAGTTCCCAAGGATCCAAGTCTGTTGAAGTATGATTTTCAATCAAGGATGGAATTTCACCTTTGACAAGATGAATTACCGTGCCAAGAGGTACTTGGACAACCTACCAAAAAAAGAAATCTCAATCAGCTGCTAAAATTTCTGATGTCATTAGATCTGCAAATAAGAGACCATAAGAAAATCTTGAAAGTAGAAAAAAAACCTTATCTTCTCCCCGAGTTCCTATCATGTTCTTTGAGGCTCCGTGAGCCCCTCTACCTGCATTCTACAGACAACTGTAACTATCAATATCAGAGTACAGAAGCAATAAAAAGGGAGACAGGAATTGAACATACAACATGATGTCGCAGAGCACTAAAGTCCCAAACTGCAGTGGAGCATTCCAGAATCACATCACCACCTCTTCCACCATTTCCACCTACATTAATTCCATAAAAGATATGATAAAACAGAGTCATTAGGCACAATTTTCCATCAACTAGACGTTCTTAATGATCAAGCTAACAAATTTTGGAACGGAAAAAAAAAATGAAAAATGAAAAAAGAAAAAGAAAAAGAAAAAGAAAAGGTGCAGCAGTATTAAAAATAAACACACATCATGAAGAACACCAAAGCTACCATATATTATATGAAAATATATAACAAGTATAATAGCTTCCTGCAGAGAGTAAAAGCTAATATAATAACCCACCATCAGGTCTACCATGGCGATCATGTCGGCTGCGACGAACGCTGGTAGAACCATTGCCACCATCACCTCCCTTGGCATACAGTGTAAATCTATCTCTCATTCTAGTCTCCTGCAAAAAGGTATAAATAACAAGCATATAAAGAGGTAAGCCTCTAAAGCATGGTCAAAAGCTTGAAATCCAACAGGGGATGGATGAGGTAGGTCCCAAACCTGTAAAGGGGCAACCTTGGTCTTCCTTTGGGGAGTATCTGAGTATGAAAACAAAGAGAAAAGAAGGCATGGGCGCTTAGGAGGCCTTGTTAAGTCTTGTATTTGGCGAATAGCTCTTGCACTGTGCACCCACATTTGCATATATGCTGTTGTTGTTTCCCACAGTTGAGGGTCTCCAGGATATTGGAATATTAATAAAGCCTAGACCTTGGCCAAATACAAGAGAAGTCAAAGGAGAATTCAGACATCAAATATGTAGCTATAATGAAAGAAGAGGTGCAGTGTGGTCCTTTAGCTGTTATTTTGAGTCAGAGTTCTGAAGTAGGTTTTCTTTAGGAGACCAAGGTGAGGAATTGTTATTGTCACGCCCCAAACTAGGAGGAGGCGTCTTGTGAATGGGTTCCACAGGTGCACAAGACTCAGTACCTGTCTGAATTTTGTACCAAATGAGGAAAAATGGACAGCAAGTTAGTGGCCAAAACAAAAGTACAATAAGGGGGGGAATAATCAAAATTCTTTGGCAGCATTTCGTGTAGCTTTCAGCAAGTTTTTAGGGGGCAAAAATCAGCATGATAGTGTCAAGAAGAGTGCAGAAAAATATAACTTTGCAGGATTATCTCAGCAAAACGCACAATTCATGTGCAAGAACAGGGGGAGATGAGATGAGAAGACAAAAACAGCAACTTAACAGTGCTCATCAAGTAGAGAAAAATCAGAATTAAATGGCTGCAACGAAAAGTGAAATAAAACAGCCTTTAGTGACACCAAAATTCTAAGCGTGGACTACATGTTTCAGTAACAAACAATAAACAACCCAACAACAATTAAGAGGTCTAGAATTCGAATGTAAGGGTCTGTTAATAATATACCAGGAAGAATTCTTCTGTTGAGGAGTTCAAATCTGATGACAACAATAAACGAGCAGAAACGGAGGAAAAGGAAAAGGAAGGAATTCAAGTCAAAGAGGAAGAGATGAAGAACCGTCGCTGTGTTTCCTTCCCTCCAAAAGTTTCATTCTTAAGAGAAAGGGGAGAAAGGGATGTAGCGGTCAAGACATAAAAGGGGAGTCGACGACGATGGGTCGGCGGCCAAAAATGGAAAATTCTGGTGTCGACGGCGACGGAGAATGAAAGAGAGATGAAGGGTGCGGTGCGTAGCGCTAAAAAAATGAATACCCAGAGAGTTTCTGAAATCTTTGTCTTAAAATGGTTTTTTTTTTTTTTTTTTGGTCAATTTTTTAGGCGGAATGAATTATTGAAACGACGCCGTCTCAAGTTAAGCCCTTGTCCCAAATTTGTTTTTCTCGTCTTCAACTTTCCCTTTTTTGCAAATGAGATTTCTGTTTTACAGGACGGACTGTATGCAGTCCGCCTTATAAAATTACTTAAATACTCTTAAATTTATTTTTATATTATTTTTT